ATATATAAAAATTTATACATCAAATATAATATATTATATATATGATATATAATATATAAATATATATTTATATATAACATATATTTATATAGATTTATATATATAAATGTTTACAGTTTTCTAGATAGTTGTTTCTTGATAGATTTTTTCTACATCATAACTACCATTTATTTCTAAGACGTCTTCCCATTTATACAGGAAATTAGATTATTTTTATCTTGTGAAACATTTCACAGCACTAAAGAAATAGTGTAATAAGGTCAAAGGAAAGAAAAACTCTTACTGGAAAAATTTCTCTCTCATTATCATGAATCTGTGATGGAAACCAAAGTTTGAAAAGAATTATACCTTCTTTGTTTGAGAGAATAATAATTTCTTCCAAAAATAAAAAGATGAAACTTCAAAAGCAAAGCAAAAAATATGCATGTTCATAACATTTTTATCTTCAATTGCTTTCCAAATACTTAATAATTACAGTTTAAATATCTTTTTTTTAAGAAAAGTTCATGTAATTTTTATTTTGTGGATTGAGTACTTGGAAATAAATATTTGAGGTAATTAAACAAAATCATCTGGCAAGTCAATAAGAAAGCCAGGGTTATCATCTTTTTGCCAATGTTACACAAAGCATTTCGCCCACACTCAATAAATAACATGTTGATAGATTATTTGCTTGATTGAATTTTTATGTGAAAATATATTTTAAATTATATGTGTTGTATTATAGTTGTTTTACCTTCTAGGACAAAGGAGAGTTAAAATGAATGCATCATTACAGGGAAAAAGTAACCAGACATATCAATTATGTTTTGAAGTTTTACCGAAGACCAGAAATTTCGAGGACCTCATGTTCTCTCCTATTTACTGTGAACTTCAGGTTAAGACAGACATGAATAAGTAGCATCTGCATATTTAAATCCACCTGGAGCCAGGGGTTGCTGGTAAACTTAAGAGTATAATGCCATTCTTGGTGATCTGCTAGCCATATTTCCAAATTTTCTCCACAAAAGTCTTCAGCCTCTTTTCTTGACACATTTTACCACATGTAAAGACCAGAGATACATTTCCTGCTCTGCCATCTGAGTTTCTTCTCTTTTGAAAGCTCTAAACCATAGCTTCAGAAAATATTTATAAATCATATCATCACATTCATTTTTTAGAAAAAGTGGCATTGTAAGTGGTTAAGAGTGATGATTCTGAAGTCAAGTAGCTATGTTTCCAATCTGAGAATTTCTAAGTGGTTCGTTTATTTTTCCCTGTGTCATGTTTTCTTTGACTTAAACATGCATGTATTCCTACTGCCTTTGTTATAAGGATATTCCAAAACATCGACAGGCAGAGGCATGAAAACTTTCATCCTTATTATGCAAGAGATGCAATTTATTAGACATTTTGATCTGCATTATGAAGACAGTGACCACCTTTAAAAAGCGGGGTTACTTTGGGCAAATTAAGACTAAAGAAACAAATTCTTGATACTCTTGAATAACTCATGAGATTAAGTCTCTTCAGATGTTTTAGTTCTAGGTTTCAGGTTTTTAGTAGGCATCTTCATGCTATCTCAGGGCCTTGTATTCTCATAAAGAAAAATGATATGACTACATTAAAGGATGAAGTTTTACATATGTGTGATTTATAGCATTTGGCTTGATCTCAAGAGAAACACTTCAGAGATATGAAGACATAGTGCCCCAAAGCACAGACGAAGTTTAAGTGGTAAATGAGAAGAAAAGGGCTAAAATAGAAATAGTATGAAATAGTTTAAAGAGCAAATCTACTGCACAGATTTTAGTGATGACTTCCTCACCTGTCTTTGGATTGACTTATCTAATAAGTACCATATTTTACATAAAGACGAATTGTAGAAGGAAATGAGATATGGAATGATAAAGCATGACATGATAGGCTTCTGGCCCTGACACTTGGTTTTATGCTATGTGGAGACTATTATTTACTTCTTTAGGGTGAACTCTGTCTTTACTTTTGAAAGCATTCTTCATCTGGAAGTGTATAGATGAGTGACTACACGATAGCTTGTTTTTCTATAATGATGACATGCTTGTTTTTAAACACTTCACTCCACTTACAACTCTAGGAGATCTAGTATATAGTTGCATTTATTGTCAAAATTATAAAAAGTTTTATCATGTAGTTTATCCTTAAGGGTTTTTTTTTTCCTATATGAACCTTAAAAGGATTTCTCCCATGTTTATATTTTTTATTTTTGTATTAATAGAGGGACAGAAGAAAAGAAGAAACACACTTCATGAATTCAAAAAGTCAGCAAAGACTACTCTAATTAAAGAAGACCCTTCACTGAAGATAAAGACCAAAAAAATGAATGCTGCAGACCAATGTGCCAATAGATGTATCAGGAATAAAGGACTTCCATTCACATGCAAGTGAGTTATTTCATTTTCTTATTAGGATGATTTGCCAACTATAGCATGTATTCACTATAATCATTCCTTAATTCAATGTAATTTGCTCTTAAAATTATAATTTTCATTCTGGTTTTAACTTCTTACCACCAAAGACTTAGCTCTTTGTTGATAGAAGCATGGCTTGAGTGAGGAAGCATACAAAAACTGCTACTTTCTAAAACCTTCAGTGGCTTTGGTTATGAAATATAGCTTTTTCTCATCGTAGGAACAATAGAACTTGAGGAACTAAAATTAGTTTGACTTTATCACTCTAACATTTCAAATATTCTATTCACAGTCAATGTTTTTTACTTTCAAAAGTAGAGGAGTTTTCAGAATAGAAATTGGGCAACAGCCAGAATTTACTGCAGTTTATATCATTGTCTTTGGGGATTTAAATAAAAGGTGTTGAGAGAATTAGATATAAAAAAAGTAGAGGGATTAATGTCAGCAGCCGAAGCTGTTTAAAAGAAGTTAGGGGTTAGCGATGAAGTTTCAGGTGAAAAATGATGGGGCAATTCAAAGAAGCCTGAGGGGACTCAAATAGAGTTTGTTATCTTATGATAGGACCAGGATGACTTCACAGGGAAGAATTCCTTTCTACTTTGCCAGTGGTCCCAGAAGATAAAACTTACAGTTTGGGGCCAGAAAGGTGACAATTTCATCTGAATACTCTCCCAAACTGCTAGAAGATCATTTCCTAGTTCTTTTTATAGTCTCTTCTTTCATTTATTTTTCTATTTTATTCCTTATTTTACCTTCCTCCACAGGATTGTACATACAATTCTTTAAATTTGGAATGTTACTCTTACGTTTGGATTGTGACACATCATGGAACCACAGGGTTTAGTAAATGTCATGGCAAGAAATCCTAGTTTCATTTTGCCTCTCTCAGAGCAATAAGTGTAATGAGTATGATGGGCTTCAGGGAAAGGGCATGGTCAGAGAAAGTCTTTACCAAATTTAAAAGGAGAAGGACTCTTCTTTTTTCAGTTTTTGCAGCCAAACTGCCACTTGCAGGGAGATATTTCCTGGGAAAGTGAGTGGAGATTGACTTTGCAAGTATATTCCAAGGATAATTCTGTTTTATTCCTTGACTTTTTTTTTTTTTTTAATGAAAGCCTTTATATTGTCAAAATTACTAGAGAAAACTACTCTCAATCTACATCTTATTAAGATGTTCTGGCAAATGAAGAGATTGAGGTTGTATTGTATTGTCCCCTCTCAGGGTTGGATGATGGGGCAAAGGGAATGAAAGAATGGAAAGATGACAGGAATGTCTAATTCTAAGCTCTTTGGAAAATTGCTGACTCATGAGTTGACTTGAGAGAAGAAAACAGGAGACTTTACTCTTAGCCATGTCTGAGCGCTGGAATTGCCTTCCTGCCATACAACTAGAGTATAGATAGCATAATGTTTAAAGGAAGATCATAATTAAAACAATGCTAAAATAGATATTTTGAAAGTAAAACCTAAAAGAAGACTTGACACATGCAATTTTATGGCAGAGGTAAACTCCACATGCAGGTGTGAAATAATACAACAATATTTTTGTGAGATAATATGTCCCTGTAACGGAATGGAGATATTTGCAGGTGTTATTACTTAAAAATTTAACATTTTGGGGGGTATTTATAATTTTTTTAGATAAGACATCTTTAATAAATAGCAAAAAGAAACCAGTAAAATTCTTAGCTGTAGATGGTAGTTGTAGGTAGTGACATGTTTTAGTAATTTTATTTGAGATGTTATTCCAAAGTATAGTCTCTCATTTTAGTAATTTTTTTACTTTATTGAAAATGTGTATATAAGCAAACATATTTAAGGGATAATACCTTAAATAAATCAACAAGAATCTTCATAGCAAGATTTTTATAGCTTTTAATGAGCTGTATATAATGAGTTTAACTCACCAAAAAGGTATATGATATGTAAAAATTTCTGAACTTACTTATTTAAGATCCCTCTTTCTAAGATAATCTTCCTGGGTGGTGGTTTATCCAATGCATCTTAGGAAATGCCATTTTAAAATATACTTCATACAACTACAAATTTGGAAATTAATCATTATATCACAAATGTAATTATTCATACATAAAGGCAAACAAAATTTTCTACCTTGTGTAATTATAAAAAAAAGAGTCTTTAGAAATAATCCAGGTAGTTGCTACATGTTGACTTTGCTTTCTAAAGCTCTTAGTTTCCTACAAGTCATTTAGAATAATATGAGAACTTTCCAGATAGAATTTAATCTGATATTTAAATCTGTACATACAAAAACTTAAATCTTGTTCTTGTTTGGCTGTTAAAATGATAGGTCCAGATATCACTTATATTTTTATTATGTATCTAAGAAGACTTCAAACTTTTTGAAAATAAAATTAAAGTTTAGTTTGGTGTAAAATTTCAAATCTGTGAATTTTTTTAATAATACGCATTTTCCATGAATTATTTTACCCTCCTTGGGAAACCATGTGCTCATTCTTTAAAAACTGTATAAATAGTAGTATTCCTTCTTTTCATTCAGATATTTTTTTCAGGGCCTTTGTTTTTGATAAAGCAAGAAAACGATGCCACTGGTTCCCTTTCAATAGCATGTCAAGTGGAGTGAAAAAAGAGTTCGACCATGAATTTGACCTCTATGAAAACAAAGGTAACTGACTATTCCCTAAATATTGCATAATGAAATAAAGTATAAAATATATGCTTGTAAATTCCTACCAGAAGGCTCCTTCCCACTGATATTTTTATTATGAGCTGGGTCTGTTGTACGGTCAGTTTTATCCATGACAACAGATGAAACTAGCACCTTAACTATTTTAGCATGGTACTTTAGGTTAAGAGAGCCTTTCCCGGGACCAGCAGTTAGCGTAATGGTTATGTCGCTGGACTCCCATACAGTCAACCGTGGTTCGAGTCCCGGACCCAGTGGCTTAAAACTCACGCCGGGTGCGTGTGCATGCGTGTCCAAGATCCCAAGAGGAGTACGGAGGAGAAGGAATTGTGGCGCGGCCATCCCCCCGCGCCAGTGCCCTACAGCACAAACCTCTCTCAAAAAAAAAAAAAAAAAAAAGAGAGAGCCTTTCTCAAACTTTCCATAATCTAGATTGCCCTTTCTCTCTTTGGCTTTTTTTTTTCTAGGAGCATCTCCTAGGACTGATATTCTTTATATTTATTTTAGAAAGTGCCATCCTACGTTGTTAGTTTAAGATACTGTGTATTAAGGCAAATGTTGAGATTGCTATAGTATTTTTTATTTTTACAACTCTGGATAACTGATCTAAGTTTTGGATAAACCAGTTAGGTTGATACTTAATCTTATACTTTTTTTTTTTTTTTTTTTGGAGAGATTTAGGGCGCATGCGCTCGCCAGACAGACATAGAGACAGAAAGCGAGAAATCACCCCCCAGGGGGGAAGGTCACGTCGCAATCCCTTCTCCTCCATTCTCCTCTCGGGATCTGGGGCACGCACGCACACGCGCCTGGCGTGAGTTTTTTAAGCCACCGGGTCCGGGACACGAACCGCAGTCGACTACGTGGGAATCCAGCAACATAGCCATTACGCTAACTGCTGGTTCCCCTTAATCTTATACTTTGAAGAAATCTTTAGAAGAGAAATTGAGTTTTAAATTGTTTATTCTGATAGCCTGATGTTATATTTACAAGGTACTGACTTTGTTCAAAAGCAGAATTAGATAACTATAGATTGTTAAATATGAAGTTTACGAGTTAAATCTCTCATCACACAAAATAATTATGAGTTGCACTTATGAAAGTAATATTCATTTTAATTAATTAAAAAATCATGTGTCTTATTAAATTTGGAAATTGAGTAGTACATACAGATGTTTTCATGTTAATGGATAAATACTTAAATGAAATAATAATAATAATAATAGCAAATAAAATAATCTCTCTAT